TCAATGATCGGGTAAAATTTCGAGGCTTTATTTCACGTTTCAATGATTTTATTGAAATTTCTGATGAATCTCCATACATTTCCTTATAACATGACACTTCAGAAACCAAGCTTGGGCTACCTGTGCACTGGCTACAACAGAGTCCAGAAAAGATTACAGTCACAGAAAATAATACTTTATAACTACAAAGGACTGCAGAAAAGCACAATAGATCCCTTGCACTAAATCCCTACCTGGGAGTCAAAATAAATGAACGTTACAAAATCATAAAGGATTTCAGTCCTTTAAAGACAAGTGAATCTTATATTTTGACCCCGATTGAGCTGCTTTGACGTCAGCGCCATGCATCTCGCTACTCCTTAAACCCAGACTCATTTTCTTAGGATTAGCTTTGTTTATGAGTCAGATACCACTAAAAGTGCACGGGATTCTGTACATTACATTTGACTATTGCAAACGAATAGCATGATGGCGTCGTTTGACTCCCACTACCAAGATGCTTCGCGAATTTTCTTTATTATTTAAATTTGTATTCCCTCATGAGAATAGTGATATCGTTAAAGTTCTTGTTAGATTTTAAGCTATGAAGCTCCGTTCGAGCGCCACCAAAGTCGAGTACCCATTGATTTTGCTTTACAATTCTCTGTGCCAAAATGAAAACAGCATTTAGGCGAATTTCTTGGCCTCAAGGAGCAGGCAACAACGCACGGTCTTGGGAGTTTTCACTTAAAGCTCTACCGGCTTTCAAAAGTGCCAGGAAAGATCGAAAACTATGCCATCAATTGATGGTTTTCAATCATTCCTAAGAGAATTAAATAACAAGAGATATGGCCACCATGTTGGAAGATATAACAAAAGAATTCATTGATAATTCTTTTGTTAAAGTCCTCCAACATGGCCGACGTGAAAACCATCAATAGTGATTGCATCAGCAAAAGCTATGTCTATACCAATAACATTTGTCAACGACAATAGAGTGGCAGTTTTAATTAAATACTGGGCAAATTGACGAATATGAATTTGACTCAGATGAAGAGACACGCGCTGAAGACGATGAGGTGACCGTTAAACCAGCTTGCGTGACCCGTTCAGACAGGGGTGTACGAGCATTCCTACGAATGGATTTATGATCATGTTCATAAACGAATAACAAAAGATTCCTCTATATTTTCTTACAATTTAAGGTTCAGTCTTTCCACAATTAAAGCCATAGTTGGGGTTTTTATTGGCTCTAGCCATTGTTTAACAGTTCTTTTATTTTCTCCTATGAAAATTATGTTTGCCTAGTTTCACCTTTTTTAACAGACTAAAACATTGTTTTACGTTTTGGGACATTTCACTGCAAAATTCCAGCATGCCAAGCGATATATCGTGAAAAAAGTCTGCAAATAAATATCTCTAAAATGTCTTGCGATGTCTTGCCAAAACAATACCAGCCAGCCAACAAGACTAACCAGCATACAGAACAACAGATGTAGATGGTGAGACCAGCCAGCCAACAAGACCAGCCAGCCAACAAGACCAACCAGCATACAGAACAACAGTTTTACTACCATATGTAGATGGTGTATCCCAAACTTTGCGAAGATGCCTTCAAGACCATGGTATTCGCACTATTTTCAGATCCGAAACAACTCTGCTGAAACAGCTGTTAACTGATGCTGGGACCCTCCCCCCCCATTCAGACCCTGATCAAACAGTGCAAATCTTATCAGCTATTGTGTATAAATTTGGATGGAAAGTCTTGGGCAAAAAAAAAAAAAAAAAGTTATGACGCCGCTTGAAAATTCGATCCAAAATTTGAAGCATAAAACGTCGCGCTGTAGAAACATTACCATTGAATGGATTGCCTTGAAGTCTTGACATATCTATTTTCAAGTATTGTTGATGACCACTTACAAAAAATCAGCATTAAATCTTAAAAACTCATTGAATTCATTTTTTAAAATTAATTGACGTTTTAAACCTCAAATAGAGTAAACACCCGCACAAAAGAACTTAAAATTTAACAACCTGTTAGCCTAAAATTATCCAATCATGATCCATTTTTATAAGAACCTATTTAGACTAAGATTTGAAACAGGTTCTTAATTTTTAAAAATGAACCTTAAAGATCTCCAGGAAAATATGAAACACTTGACTCTCTATTAATAATAATTGTTTTTTGTAGTCTATGAAAACTTTGTAAATCGTCATAACATTAGGGTCATGCAGCTCGTACCATAAGTTGTTGTGTCTCTGATGCTATCTCTGCACTTGTAATACAGCCATTTGTCCAAAACAATTCAAACTCAAATCTTAAATCTTAATATGCTTTAGATTAATTACTTTAAATGGGTCATACAAGGCCTATTTTTACATTGATTTTATCTTCCATATAAAAATAAGAACCTACTAAGAACCTAATTATCCTACAAATTAAAGCACCCGTTATATAAGAACCTGTTTAGGCTAACTTGGAAAAACCTAGGTTCTTATGTGCGGGTGTTTACTGTATGGGAGTTTTGCTAATCACATTTGCTCCAAGTTTTTTCTTCAAACTTCCTAAGTGAAATTTTTACATCTCGTCCTATCCAAATTTTGGAGAAAAAGTTTTTTAAATCGAGGTGTACGTTTACGAGTGAATTTGCAATGTGTGACTTCAACTAAAATAGTAAATATGTTATATATAATTTTCTACTAATGTTCAATAGTTGAACTATAACATACACTCTGCCATAGTTTAGTGATCCATCTAAATACTGTAGCTCCAAAAAGCCTTCCTATCAATAGACAGAAAATCACTACAGCAGCAATAGCAAAGAGTTTTGCATTTTGTGACACTAAGCACTTAAGCCGTATATATTTTCCTAATTTCATTTCTTTAGTATAAAAGTTGTGGTATTTCATCATCGTGAAAGCATCTATCATGTGTCCCATCGTCGTAGAGGTAATAAGATCGCAAGCTGATCTTGGTCTGATGTACTCCGTGTGATATCGAAGGTCAAAACCAGGCAACGTTTTAGCTTCGATTCCTAATTCACTAGCCACTACACCCAAGTAAGTATCATCCGTGTGAAAGGGCTTTCGACCGAATTTTGTATAATTAAAAAACTGTGGAAGAATGTCAGTGGAAAGTACATGGAAAGCTCCATGACAGAACGGCGGCCAGTACTCTTTTTCATATTGACTTTTCGAAATAAACCATTTGTTCCTTGGGTCGCGGACAGTCTTAAAGCCCACGCTGACATATCCTCCATAAAACCTGTTAGGAGCGCCAGCTCGTTCTAGCCACCGTAAAAGCCTTGGAACTCGAGCATAAACATCATCATCTGTCTTCAATACATACCTGCATGAAGGGAATCTCGTGGTTACCCAGTAGTGAGACATAAATGTCTTTAATACAACGCTTTCATAATTGTCTGTGAAATTCCCAATGATTACATCGTTGTTTCGCGATGCTTCTTGTAGATTCATTTCATGTTCAGTTTTGTTTTCACTTATCGCCAAAACGAAAAATACTTTCCAAATCTTGTTCCTAGTGTACTCCAACGAGCTTCCCCATGTTTCTCGTATAGCTTTTCTCAGCCCACGATATTTGTGCCCTGTGGCAGCAGAATTCACTGCGACTGCCAGATAGATGTTCCTGTCTGGGAAACTGATATTAGGTTCAACAAAAGGCAGATGCAGAGAAAATTCTGGCCATACGACGTTTGAGGGACTAGTAGGAGGTGGAGGAGGTAGTCTTTGATTGTAATATATGATTGTAATAGTGCAAAACAACACCACAGTAAGGACTCGGATCTTTCTGAAATTCTTGCACAACCAATTAGGAAGGAGCTTGAAAATCACCACCATTGCTGACCACCTTGAAATCAATGCAAGGCTTCGAAATGACTCAATGAACACGCCGCAAGAAGACCAAATTGGAGGAAAATACTGAAATCTCGCAGTGTTGTGTTCTGAGAGGTACAGCGAAACCCCTCTATACCGGACCCTCAGTATACCGGAATTCTCTATAAACCGAACAAACGTTTTGGTCCGGAAATTTTTCCCATATATCTTTTGTAAAATAAACCTCAGTAAACCGGAACCTCTCTATTCCGTAAACCGGACGATAATTTCGGTACCAAACGCTATTTTGACAATGGGATTCAACCCCGCTAATCCGGATTAACGTACCTTTGTCTGAGCTATTCTAATCGAAAACAAAAGTGAGATTAACACTGCCAGCGTTGTCTTGGCGTGAACCGGAATTTTATTGTGTGAGAAAGATTAGACCTTTTATGTATAAGACATATGTCTCATGTCTGGTTTTGACCCACTTTCGGAAGTTCGTGATAGAATTTAATGAGCTCAGGAAACAAAAGCCATTGTTTAGCGAGTAAATTAAATAATGGTATATCAACGTCTTTATCTCTTATCGCCTACCCGAGTGAGACAAAGGATATATTATATAG